AGTGAGCGGTGAGTGTTTGAATCCGTGCACTCATCGTTTTAAAATTGTTGTACTTGCTCGGCTCGCTACTTGGCCAACGCAGTGGCTTTCGATTTGTGAGCCTGCCAAGTGTCCCTTTTTTGAAGCAAGCCGCATCTCTTCACTTGCATTCAGGCATGTTGCACACATGATTGTCAGACTTTCGTTCAGACTGATGATTTAGGAATGAGTTGCGGAGTTCCAAGCGCTTGTAAATTGTTAAGGGTTTACCATGAATGAAGGAATCAGTCATTCTCTCGCCTTGTGTTTGTTTGCGTTTGATTGGGGTTTTGAGAGGTATCATGGCTGAATTTGGTTGAAATACAATTCATGTACTGTAAGACATTTTATAGAACAAGAAGCACTTGCACAGATTCAGACGCCCAGCAAGGTTGCCAAAATTGTGGTCGTGCCCAACCTGTGCCAGACGGAGCGGTTAGTTTAAACATTGTCTAATAGAACAAAAATTAAGTAGAACAGACAGCAGTAGTCTAGAAATATTTAATTCACGCAGAATTATGTACTTCTTAACCCCTTTTTACACCAATCATTTTTTCTCCATCACAACTTGGCTGCAGTAACGCAGGATTTTGAAAGGTGCCAAGTTCTTTCTGTACAAAGGGCGGTAGTTGAATTGAAGAGTGCAGTGCAGCAAGCCTTCAGGTGAACAGGCTACAATTTTTACATTTTCCAGTGGCTGCAGGGTTTTGGAATTGCAGTAAGTAAGTGACCAGGTGGTGTGTGCCCTTGGGTGCCCAGCAAAAAGTTACTTTATTGCTTCTGGTGAAATCAGCACACACACACATTGTCACCCATGACTTTTTGCAACTGAAATCGCACTGTTCAGTTCAGCTGTGCTTTAGTTGAAATTTGTGTTACAGGTTCCAAGTCTTTGTGAGAACTTGTAGTGCGAACTTGTAGTCTTTTGGAGGCAATATATGTTATGGTGGGACAGTTGGATTTGAATATCATTGTGGTCGGGATGTGATGTTTTTTCTGGCCGGGCTGGTGTTTTCTACGTGCTTTCAGTTGGATGAGCCAACTGAAGAGTGCACTTGGTTTGGAAATGCGGGCTTTGGTGTTAAATTTGCCTGGACTAGAGCCCATGGCAATCACACCTGGAATCTTGTTGCGGCTTTGGTGACGGCGTGAGAGCCAGCTCACTGAATATTTAATTTGTTTGTTTGAATCGCATTATTATATTAAGTTTATTAACCACTCACTGACAAACAATATAAATAAATAAAGTCTGAATTTAATTGAGAGTTGGCAGGATTGACGAGTCATTGTCATCAGAATCCAATGGTAACATAACAGTGAGTGAGTGAACAGTGCCGCCACCTTCTTATGAATGAATAGAGAGTAGCAACTAGTAGGCTAAGGTCCAAGGTTTTATTGAAATATTTCCAAATCATTGGCGCGACTGACAGGCGACCACTATTCAATTCAATCATCTTGATGTGTTTTTAGATATATATTTTTTGCTTTAATTTACATGTTTTTCATTACATAAATTAATTTATACTGCCTTTTCAGTCTTCAATGCTCAGACTGCTGGTTCTGGTTTTCGAATTTAGGTCGCAGCAGTAGCAGAAGTTTGATTCATGAGGCTGACAAATAAAACACAAGGCTGAAATGGCCTCAATGACTCAATGGTTATTTGATCCTTCACCTAGTAATCAAAATCAGCTGCCATGGAAAACAGCACCTTACAGCAGTACGAGCCAGAGCTTAACAACAGCTCTCTTTCCATTGAGCGTACCTACCCAACGCCACTGCTTTACAAACAATGCAATTTAATTGATCTGCGCCTGGTTTGCGCCTGGTCTGCGCCTGGTACGCGCCCCGTGGGTGAATTTTTATCAAATTATTTATTACCAACATTCAAATACATATGCAAAAGAGTTTTGCGCTAAATATTTGAGGACCGTTTTTGATTGTAAACATTTATTAGTACAATAAACTATCTATTATAAAGTAGATTTGAAAAACGTTCTAATTGCACAGACCAGGCGCATATCAATCAAAATATTTTCCAAATTCTCAGCAAACACTTACGCATGACAGGCAAGCCTGGTCTCAACCACAAGTTAGATGTTCAGATTTAAGTTGCAATTTACAATGTATTTTGATTGGTCTGCGCCTGGTCTGCGCCCGATTAACAAATTTTGCAAAATTCAATAATAACAACGTGGAAGGAGATATGAAAAGGTCTTTAATTGAACAATTCAGCAACGATTTTGTTTATTACAATTTTCCTTTTAAATATTTATACAACAAACGTAATAGGTTTACAATCAATATGGCCAAAATCGTGCTGATGGCGCAGACCAGGCGCAGGCCAGGCGCAGACCA